TTAATGTTTATTATTTATTTTTAGAGAGGGAACATGAGCAGGGGAAGGGCAAAGACGGGGGCAGGAAGGACAGAGGAGGAGAAGTAGACTCCACACTGACAGCAACAAGCCCAATGTGGGGTTCAAACCCACGAACTGGGAGATCATGACCCAAGCTAAAGTCAGACACTCAGCTGACTGAGCCACCCAGGTGCCCCTGGCATTCTGATATAAAAGTCCCGTATTATCTCTCCCTAAGAAGAAAAAAATCAAAGAGGATAAATAAAATCCATGGGAGCAATTCCTTCAGCAGTTCTAGGAACCAAAAAACACAAATTCTCAAATTACCTGCAAGTAGAGGGAAAAACAAAGGAAACTAGCCTGTAGATGCAAAACTGGTAAGAGGAGGCAGAAAAGACTGTTGCAAGAAGGGAACAGAGGACCCAGAAGGAATACAGACAAAACTACCTTAAGAAAGAGGAAGTGAGACAACAAATACAAAAATGCTGGACACATATAAAGATTTGTTAATTCACAGCCCTACTATGGAAGGAGCTGGGAAATACGCAGACTCTAACGTGGCAGCCCCAGGGAAGCGATCTACCCAAAGAAAGAAAAAGTGAGACAATAAGTACAAAAATTCTGGAACAGATAAGAATTTGGTAATTCATAGTCCTGCCACAGGGAAAGGGCTAGAAAAAAAGTAGAACCTAACCACACAGCCTCAAGGAAGCTTTACTTCGGGGGAGAGTTAGGTAAGATTGGTTACTCCACGTATACGTGCAATCTAAAATCGAAACATCAGTTAGGCATCCAACTTTGGCTCAGGGAATGATCTTGCGGTTCATGAGTTTGAGCCCAGCATCGGGCTCTGTGTGGACAGCTCAGAGCCTGGAGCCTGCTTCAGATTCTGTGTCTCCCTCTCTCTCTGCCCCTCCCCTGCTCTCATTCTGTCTCTGTCTCTCTCAAAAATAAACAAACATTAACAAAAGAAAATAAAACAACGAAGCTCTTAGATACAGAAAACAGATTGGAGGGTGCCAGGGGTTGGGGTGGACAAGATGGGTAAAGGGGGTCCAAAAGTACAAATTTCCAGTTATAAAATAATTCATGGGGATACAATATATTACAGAATGATTAACTATAGTTACCATGTGTCACATATTTCAAAGTTGCTAAGAAAGTAGATATTAAAACTTCTTACCACAAGAAGGAAAAAATCTAACTATATGTGATGATGGATATTCACTAGATTTATTGCAGTGATCATTTCACAACATATCCAAATATGAAATCATTATACTGTATACCTGAAATTAAAATAAGGTTTTATGTCTGGGGCCCCTGGGTGGCTCAGTAGGTTAAGTGTCTGACTTCAGCTCAGGTCATGACTGTCCTGGATCATGGGTTACAGCCCGGCGTCGGGCTCTGTGTTGACAGCTCAGAGCCTGGAGCCTGCTTGGGATTTTGTGTCTCCCTCTTTCTCTCTGCCCCTCTTCCACTCATGCACTGTCTGTCTCTCTCAAAAAAAATTAATAAAATAATGTTATATGTCATTATATCTCAATAGAAATTTTAAAAAGTGCCAACCTCTTTAGACTAAGAAGTGAAGGAAAAGAATCAGTCGTGAAAAAGAAAGGATTCTACAGAAATCAAAGAAACAACCAACCCCTAACTCCCACCACAACTTAATAGATTATCATAAAAGAAAACGCACAGGGGAGAACTGAGAATAAAAAGTTCTGAAACCAGGAACCCTGATCACAAAATGAACAGAAATAGAAAAAAAGGAGACCACATCCATATAGAACTACTATAAAATATCAGATATTTGCTAATGAAAGAGTTCAAGGTTTTGTTTTGTTTTTGCCTGATAAAGTCTCCTCCAAAAAGTCCACAATGAGGCTAAAAAAAACTAAAAATGAAATCAATTCAACCTGAATTAAATATCCTCAAACAATTTTTGTAAACATGGAGTTGGGGGAGGGAGTTAAATCAGAAACTCAAAAACTACTATAGAAATGGGGTGGGAAAAGGAAGAACTAAAAAATAAACAAACCTCCGAAAAGGTGAGGGAGGAGAGAGACAAAGTTGTATGAAAAATGAAAAGTAGATTACAAGGTACCCGTAGAACAGATGCCAATAAAAACCTAATAAAGGGCAATGAGGAAAAGGAAGACAGGAAAGTAAAATGGGTCAGAGAGAAAGTGGCTGAAAAAGACAACACAAAGGAGGTTGGACATTCCTACTAGTGTCCTGAGGAAATGAAAACAGAGCACAAAATGAAAATGAGAACTGAACTAGTATTTAAAACTATAATTCAAAGATTTTCCTGAAGGAAAAAAGACATGATTATACATGTTAAAGGAGAAAACTGTGCCAGAATGAGCAATACCAAGATCTATCCTTATAAAGTTAGCCATGAAAGATAAAAAAAAATTCTCAGAGCCTCCAACTAAAACACGGATTTAAAAGCCAAGAAAATGAGAATGGCATCAGATTTCTCAAAAGCAACATACAAAGCAAGGCAACAGAAAAACAGCATTTTCAAGAAATTAAGTCCATATTTTGTTTCTTGAGGATATTACATCCAGCAAAGCTGCTCAAGTTTTAAGGACACAGAAAAACAGTTTGGCAAGTGCCAAAAGTCATGAAACTTTATGCACATGTGTCCTTCCCAAGGAACCTATAGAGGATGAGCTTCACACAATCTAAAGGTGACTGGGAAAACTTTATAAAATGCCTATATCAGTCCTTTTATTAAGTCAATCAAAAAACTAAGAGTAAGACTAACAGGTAGAATTGAAACTAAACAGAACTGTCATATTAATAAATGAGTAGGCCTGTTTTGTTAAAAGAAAAAAAATTAAGTTCATTACAAAACAAAACTCCATTCCAGGCTGTATTTAAGAGACACACTTGAAACAGTGATTCAAAAGGGCTAAAAATAAAAGTCGACCAACATTTACCAAACAAATGGCAATAATAATTAGGAGGCAAAGTTTTAATTCTTGATGTCAAAGTAGACTAAGTCCAAAAGGATGAAACAAAACAAAGGATACTATATAAAGTTAAAGTATACTAAAGGATACTATATAAAGTTATACAAGAAGGTATAACAGTTATGTATAGGCATCAAATAATACAGCTTCCACCTTATATAAAATAAAAAGCTCTAATAGTTGTAGGAGCACCTGGGTGGTTCATTGGCTAAACGTCCAGCTCCTGATTTCAGCTCAGGTCATCTCATGGTGGTGAGATAGAGCCCTGCATCGGATTCCCCACTGAGCATGGAGCCTGCTTGGGATTCTCTCTCCCTCTCTCTCAACTCTCCCCTGCTTGCAGTATCTCAAAATAAATAAACAAAGAGTTAAAAAAAAAAAAAAAAAAAAAGCTTTAAGAGTTGCAAGAAGAAATACTGAGAAACACACTAATAACACAAGAATTTAATGTATCACTCATTAGGAGACAGGTGAAGTATAAAAATAAACATAGTAAGGTCAATCTTTAGGTTATATATCAACACTATACCCTGATAATGGAGAATATACTTTATCTCAGTGTATGTGGAAATGTCACAAAAGCTAATTATATTATCCATGAAAAAACGTTAGTAAATTCCATAGCATATTTGCTGCAAAGTAATAAAACTAAGATTAAAAAATGAAATTTAAAGAACTTTTCTTTGTAGTAATTTAAGAATACAACTCTTAAGTGAAAATACAAACAGAAATTACTAATTTTAAAAATAATTATAATGAAAACCCTACATATCAGAATCTATGAAAACATTTAGAGCAGTGGTAAGAGAAACTCAGAGCCTAAATACTTATCTTAATAAAAATTTAAAAAATAAAAAGCAAATTCTCTACTTACAAAGGAACCAAAAAAGGTACAAGGATGAAAACAAGGCAGAGAGGAGAAAAACTATAGATTACATTAATAAATCATAATCCTGGTTCTTTGATTTAAAAAAAAAAAAAAAAAAGACAAGCCACTAAGTACTTTAATCAAGATTTACAAAAAGAAGAAAGCACAAATATAAAAAATAAGAAGTGACATGGGAACATAACTATCAGTACAGAGAAACCAGAAATTATAAATGCCTACCTTGTATCCATCCATGCAAATAATTTGCAAACTGAGAGGAAGTGGGTAATTTCTTAGGTGGTGAAAACATTCCAGATTAAAGGCGGCTAACAAGACATAACTAAATGTAATGCCTGACCCTAGACTGAATCTTATACTGGTCTTAAAAAAAAAAAAAAAAGCAGCTACAAAGAACTTATTATATCAAGTGACAAAACTGAATATGGATGGTAGATTAGATAAAAAGTAAATTTATGACATCAACAATTGTACTCTGGTCATCGAAGAAAATCTCTCTCATCAATCTCAGGAAATGAAGTATTTAGGGGTAAAGAACCATGATGTAAGTAACTGATCCTAAAATAGTTTGGGGGAAAAAACTGCACGCATGCAATGCATGCGTGTGTGCGTGCGTGCGTGCGCGAGCGCACACACACGCACACAGAGCAAATGAAAAAAGTAGATGAGGTAAAATGTTAACAATAGGTGAATCTGAGTAAAAGGGTATGTTTTGTTTTTTTTTTTAGTTATTTCAGAAAATTCTGTTACATATGAGATTGTTCTCAAATAGAAAGGTTTTTTTATCAAATTACAAAATTAGAATTGTGGTACTGATCCCAAGCCTATTAAAAAAATTTAACTTCTAAAAGAAAATTCGGGGCACCTGGGTGGCTCAGTTGGTTAAGCATCTGACTTCGGCTCATGTCATGATCTCACAGTTCGTGACTTTGAGCTCCACGTTAGGCTCTGTGCAGACAGCTCAGAGCTTGGAGTCTGGTTTGGATTCTGTCTCTTCCTCTCTCTGCCCACCCCCACTTGCACTCTGTTTCTCTGTCTCTCAAAAATAAAAAATGTTAAAATTTTTTAAGGAAAATTCATTCTCTAAATGTTAAATTCTCTGGAACTTCAGGGAAGAAATGAAAAGAGCTTACCCATGAATGGGAATACACAAAAGCCTTTCCAGATTAGAAAGAATAATTTTCACAGTCTCTGGTGTTCTAGAAGAGCCAAACTCTGTCACCAAGAGTGATTTGGTAATATCTGAAAGAGAATGTTTTAAATAGTCACTAGAATTTAATAAGAATTCTTATTAAAAATGTGATACTTATAATTTAGATCAAAATAGGATATTTTCATCCCTCTCCCTAGTTGTATCAAATTTCTTTCTAATAAGCCTTGAAGTATTTAAAATTCTGATAAATTTATTATCCTCAAAGTGGTTGTTCTTATAATCATCAAAAGAATCTGCTTCTTAGATCATCCCCCAAAAGTGTAGAATATAACCAATTTGCTTGCATGCATGATATCTGTTGTGGGAAGCAAGCAAATACCTAAGTATTTGAAAAGAATTTGGAAATGAAATAATTTAAATATAAATTTGAAATAAAACAAAAGGTCAGTGGTGACCTTTACTAACTTGACAGATGATCCAATACTTTCTATTCCATTCCCTCTTTGAAGCAACATGACTGAAGCTCATGACATACTCAACCCTCTTGGTTAATGGGCTCCCTAGAATACCCTATTTCATCTCCCACCAATGGACACATATGCTTACCAGCTTGTTCTGAATGTGTTTACTGTTGTTTCCTCTAATATCACATAAGCTAATTACAAATTATAAAACATAAAAAGATTATAAAAAGGGAAAGATTTAGTTTCTATGAAAGCGACTATATGACTTTGATTCTAAGATGCACTTTTTTCACATGTTCACATCTTGAAAAATCAGGACGCTCTTCCAATCTTCGGGATCTTAGAGTTCAAATAAACTGAACTGAATGAACTAAAAATCTGCTCTCAAATTAAGTGTCTGAGGAGAAAAATTTTGCAAGTAGAGGGGGATTCTGAACTTTGACTGACTTGCGAGCATCTAAGCTCCTGCTGCACTTGAAAGAACCTCAGGTACACACTGTGGGAAATGCTGGACATGGTTCACAGGGAAAAGGGGACTCATCAACTCAATGAGCAGTCACATTAAAGACAAAACGCCAATCATCAAGGTCATAAAAATGTATGTGTCATTTTTAACGATTCCCAACTTTAACAGACTTGCATTCCCTCAGATTTATGGTCTGACAACTGGTCTCAGAGGCATCAGATCAGAGGAATCTGACAAAGAATTTGAGATGTAGTTGCTGAAACCATGAGCCGTGAATGCATGGCGGTGGGGAGCCCTTCTTACTTGTCTTCCTATCCCCAGCACTTAGTAAGCTGCTGGGGCTGAAGGGGTTTCTGGACTATACTTGTGATCTTTCCTTCTACTACCACATTCAAAACAGCAGTGGAAATTAAGTAGTAGGAAAAGTATACACAACTGATGAATCTTTTAACTGACTGAACTCTACATAACATGTGTACCATAACGTGTATATAATCTCAATCACATCAAAAATGAGGGGACACACCTACCTTCTTGTTGTGAAACCTGTAGTTTTTGACCATTACAAAAGGCTCCCTTTCCTTTCCTGCCTGTATACATCTTATCCTCCAGGCAACTGTATACAACTCCAAATTCCATCTGCAGAAGGAAAAAAGTTTACTTTACCAAACTGGGTGTTTTTCTTCATTAAATCAATACTTTTCTAAGGCAGTGGCAAGAATGTTTGGCATATTAAGAATGTTTTCAAATAACTACTGTAGAATACTTAAAAATGCTAATCTCCAGCTTAAACAGAAGAAAGAGGTCCTCAGACTTGAATCCTTGACTCTTGTCCCATCTATTTCTCATTAAGAGCACCCACCTTCACCTCTTGCCCTCTGGCCCCTCCTGCCTCAGATAAAGACAAATACTTCCTACTTTGTAAGGTGAGTACTTCCTTCTGTATTAGGATTCCTACCCTCTCAAGCTTCTGTAAAAACTCTTTCATCAACTGATTCCTCCTCTCTCAGATTTCCACCATGGTGTACTTTCACACCAAATTTCTACCTCCCTTACACAACTTTCAAAATATTATCTTCTCCTTTTCTCTTAACTGCCAAAGGGCAGTCTACACTTTGCCTCTTATTCTTCTTGTAATAAAAATTACAATTAGTCTTCTGCCTTGGTCCTGCATTCCTCTGAAACTTCTTGGAAAGAAATTACCCATGAACTCCTACTGACCAAATGCCTTTCCTGAAGAAGTGGAGACTGCTGACAATTTTCAACACTTCTTCATTACGTAATCCAGGAACTCCAGGTTTCTGGCAGTACTCTTAGTCCTAATTCACTCCCTAATCTATCTGGGGGTCACTTTTTTTAGTCCTATTTCACTCTCTAATCTTGGGGTCACCTTTATTTTTAAGGACTCTGTTCTCTGTCCAACCCTTAAAAGTCATGTGGCTCAGGAGTTGTTCACTCTTCCATTTCCCATTTAGTTCTCTATATTCTTATAGGTTTAGTCTTTCCAGTCCAAAAATTCAACTACCACCTTTCACTTTGGCCTATGCACTTATATAACCCCATTATCAGAGGTGAGAACCTAGATTTCAGTTAGTCTTGCAGCAACTTCAGCCAAAGAGGCCAAAAATCACTCATTACCTGATCACACCTCATTCCTCCCCCATGTGTCTCCTTGTTCAAATTCTATCTTGAAAGTACTTCTTGATTTTGGCATTTCCTCAGCCATCCTCACTATCACATCTTAGCTCAGAATCACCCACTCCACCCCTCAGGTATGATCTCTACATTGCTGAAATTATCTGTCACTCTGTACTTTAAAACCCCTACTGGTTTCCTACTGCCTTAAAACAAAGTCTAACTATTCTGACACAGACAGGCCACAGTGCCTCACAACAAAACCACACCTAACTCACCTCATCGATTCTGCTCCTGCCACTTTCAGAGCTTCACTCATGATGAGCATCATTCCCCACACACATCATGCTCTTCTCCAAGCTGTTCTGATTTAAATTCTTTCCTCTTTTTCTTATCTAGCAAACTCCTAAGTTGCTAAGACCAAACTCACATGACTGAATTCTAAGACCCCTTCTGTTACAAAGACCTCCTCAAAGCACTCTAGGCAGAACTGGATATACCTTCTTCAGGTTCTCACAGCATTTTTTCCATAGTCCCAGCACATATGTATCTGTTCACACATCTAACTTTTGCATGAAGTGTGAGCTAGTTCAGTGGCAGGGACAGCACACAGCCCAAGGGTGATTATATGCTCAAGGCTCCTTTAGCTCCTTTTAGATGTTCTCACTAAGTAATACACCCTGTGCCCAAGATGCGTTTTTATTTTCACAGATTTCCTGAGTCTCTTGTATACGGGCTGGTCAAATTTATAACAAGCTCCTTGGAGAAGATGTTAGTACACATCGCTGTTTGATCAAATAGCAAGCAACAAGGAAATGCAATAGCTAGAGATTATACCCTAGTGGGTTTTGGATACAGCAAGTAATTGAGTTCCTGGACACACTTGGCATTTTCCAACCATGCTCTGGCCCCCACCACTTTCTGGTCTTTCAAAGTCTCCCTTCACTGACACGTATTAAGGCATTCATATTCCTAGCTCAAATCCTACCTCTTCCATTAAGCATTTTAGATCACATATCAACTCCTATCACATCTGACTCTATCACACATATATGACGGCGATTAAATACTGAATTGTTTTTCAGTAACTTGCAAAGTTTTTTTAAATTCTCAGAAAACATTAAAATTTTATTCTCTCTGGAAAAGGTATCATGCCAATTTTAACACTTCTATAGCTTATTTTGAAATAATGTAGCTATATAAACTGAATGTAGAGACAAACCTAAATTTATTACAGAGACACATTTACTCTTTCTCAAAAAATGAGAGCAAGGCATTTTACCCATCATAAATTTAAAAAGCATACCTTTTTATTTACAGTAAAGCCAATCGAGACAGCTACAAAAGGAAACCTTAAAAAAACATATACATATTTATCAAGATAAAAATTACTTTAAATAAACATGTTTTTTCATAACATGATTGACTACATACTTTTTCATATAAATAGTCTCCTCCCCCAGAACAGCATGAGTAGTATGCAACCTTTGTGTACATAGTGGAAGGTATGGGGAGAGGTGTATACATACATACATATATACATACAGGATGCTGCTATTGGCATGAAACATCACTGCAAGAATTCACAAGAATGTAGTAACAGTGGCCACCTCCAGAAACTGGATCTGAGAAACTGGGGTCAGAAGTGGGAAGGACACCTTGCACTGCCTGCCATTTTAGATCTCTGGAATGTCAAAAGCCACGAATACAGTAACTATATAAAATAATTCTTCAAAACATATAAACAAATTCAGAAAAACTTTAATTCACCATGGTTAAAAAGAAAAGTCTTTTTTGGTCATTTCTCCCACAGTGAGGACCTATAAATATGGGTATTCAATTATACAGAATAAATTGTTTCTTGTCTTTAACACCAAACTTGGAGCTTCACATCTGAAAAGTAAACTGTTAGCCACAGTCCATTGCTGTGGCTACATGACAGCTTTGAACACATAGGCTGTAATATCTAGCCCAGAATCAAGATGAAGAAAATAAGAGAAAATGTGTTCAACTACTGAAAATAGCGTGCGCACGCGCTCTCTCTCTCTCAGGAATAAATAAAACATTAAAATTTTTTTTAAAAAAGAAAAAGTTTAATATTTAATAAGGTTTTCATTTGAACAAAAATGGGATCATAGTATATACCCTCTGTATTATAGTCTTCTATAGATCATATCCTATCACAGTAACACTCCACATACAGATTCTAGATCTTAGATTTATAGACTTTAACAATTCAGTATTGTAAAGATTCATACACCTACATGGCAACTTCAAATATAACATCTATGTATGTGTAAGCCCACCAAACTAGGCTACCCATTTTAATTGTCCCTGGCAATTCCCCCGAGCTTTCTTTTAGTGCTAATATACAGAGATACAAACTTACTTTGTACCAGGCACTACACTAAGTTCAAAGTACTACTCACTGAATATCAAGGACAAACTGTTCTATGAGGCAGGTACCATTAATATGCCCATTTTATACATTAAACAACAATAACTGAAACTTTGGAAGATTAAACAGCTTGCCCAAGGTCACAAAGCCTATAAAAGGACATATGGGGGCACCTAGGTGGCTCAGTCGGTTAAGCATCCCACTCTTGATTTCAGCACAGATCATGATCTCACAGTTTGTGGGATGGAGCTCTGCACTGGGCTCCGTGCTGTCAGCTTGAGATTCTCTCTCTCCTGTCTCTGCCCCTCCCCATGCTCATACATATACACACACGGACTCTCTCAAAATAAATGAATTTAAAAAAAAAAAAAAAAAAGAAAAAAAGGCATCTGAATTCAAACCCAAGGCTGTTGATCATAAAACCCATGCTCTTTTTAACAGTTTTCTCTCCTGGATTGAGCCTACTCTCTCTAGACAACATTTTATATGACCCCAACCAAACTGACCCCGCTAGTTCCTTAATCTGAAAGCAGCAATGTTGCTTGTTTACATTTTATATGGCTCCAACAGTGAGAAAAAGAACGGTGAACAGGGCACTTCACTGCACAAGTCTGTGACATGAATATTTCATCACTTCTTCCATATCTGACGAAAATTCTGCATAATACATTTCACTCTACAAATTACACAATTCTCTAAAGCATCTAGGTCTGTGAACAGAACACCCTAAAGGGCCATTCAGTTGGTACAGAAACATAATATTAACAGTTTAAAAACATACCTATGTACAAAATTAGTTGTTCCATCAATAGGGTCAATGATCCACGTAGGGCTGTCAGTTAAGACACTTTTCTCCCCAGCTGCCACAGACTCCTCACCAATGAAACTAAAACCAAGAAGGACAAATTCCGAATCTTTACACTGCTCTCAACAATTTTCAAACCTTAACATTTTCTTAGATTCAGAGACTATTATAATACATAACAAAAGTCCATGTACCACTTTTCCACTGTTGTTCCCTCTTTCTTCAGACTGGTGAAGTGAGAAAAGCTTATTTCTCCTGGAGCAAGGTCATGTGAAAAATAAAATACAAAATCTTCAAATGGAATACTAGGATAAATAAAGGCACACACATGTGTGCACACACATTTCCTGCAGATGAGGACTTAAAGAAATGTGGTTTTAAAAATAAGTCTACAAACTCTCTCATGCTCTCCTATGAGGAAAACCTAACACCCCTTGCTTTGAGTGTGAATTTGAATTGAGTGACTCTCCTCTAACCAATAGAACAAAGGAGAAGTTATAATATGCAACTATGAAGACTCGTTCACAAAATGGTACTGTGGTTTCCATCTTATGTTTTCTCCCTCTCTCCCTTCCTGCTCTTGCTCCAGGGTGGGGGAGGCAGCCACCATGTTATGAGGTGCTCTGTAGAGAGGCCCACATGGTAAGAACTATGGAAAGCTGCTAGCAGACAGCCCATGAAGAACTGCAGTCACCAACAATCACATAAGTGAACTTATCCTTTAGCCCTGGTTGAGTCTTGAAATGCCTGCAGCCTCGACTGACAGTTTGACTACAACTTTAAGAGACCCTGACCAGAAGCATGCAGCCAAGCTACTCCCTTGTTACTGACTCCACCAAAGTCAGATAATAAATGCTTGTCTAGAGCCTCAAAGTTTTTAGGACAATTAGCCATGCAGCAATAGATAACAGAGACCATTACATAAGTCAATGAGAAAGCAAATTGCCCACCAAAATTACTGTATCTGCATGCCTTCCTTAAACATGCTATGTAATAAATCTCGGGTGAATTTTGTAAATGGTGTCTGAGTTCATTGGCTTTTTTCCCCTTTATTCATTATATTATTTCCTTTATTCAACACTGAACTGTCCTATAATCATTATGGTTTTCTTCTATCCCTTTTTCACTTAGCTGTAAACCTTTTCATTGAGTGGAAGTATATTTAGCCACAGCTTAAAACATTTTTTCTTCTCAATGGCTAAAACACCAGGGATAGCCAATGGCATGGCCAAGATGTTAAATAGAGAATGATGATGTTAAAACTTTAAAGTGGTGGGGTGTGTGGGTGACTCAGTCGGTTAAGCATCTGACTTTGGCCTGGGTCATGATCTCACAGTTCACGGGTTTAAGCCCCACGTCTGGCTCTGTGCTGACAGCCTGGAGCCTGCTTCAGATTCTGTGTCTCCCTCTCTCTCTGCCCCTCCCCTGCTCACACTCAGTGTCTCTCTCTCTCTCTCTTTCTCAATAAAAAAAACTTTAAAGTGATGGTGTTTCTGCAATATGTCTACGTGTGTAAGAGAGCCCTGATTTTGGTATTTTCTCTCAAATTTGTTAAAGTTACCACCACTGCACCACGTAAAAAAGTTTGCAATATAGAGAATAAAACTCAACTTCTAAATCATGCCTATGGCAGACATTTGTCACATTAGCTTCCCAGCATCCAAACACTACTCTTACTGTGAAGGACTCCAAATATCCCATTTGCTACTTCCTGGCAGCTTGAGCTTGGGCAAACAACCTGAGTTCAGCAAGATGTTCCTCCCCAGGATTTGTAATCTTAACATAATGAGGTAAAAAGACAACCAAAGCTAGCAGAGTCAATAATGAGGCTACTGGTGGCATGTGATGCAATGGTTCCTGAGGCATCTCAGCTCTGTCTTCCTTCCTGGTTTCTGCCTAAGCCCAGATCTCAAGGTTCCTGAGCTGCCCACCACCCTCCAAATAAATTCCTTTTCAGCTTAACTAAAGTCAATTTCTGTGTCTAGATTCAAAATTTTTGTCTAGTGCATGGACTCTATCCAACCTAGGGGTTAATTTATTAATTTATCATGTGAAACAAAAACAAAAAAAATACCTGTGAGATGGATACTTTTCCTTTATGGAAGAGAGAAGCATTTTTTCAATTTTTTGGTCAGTAGCCGTTACCAAATCAGCTGGAGAACTTTTAACCATAACATTCATTTCATTTTTTATAGCTTCACGAACCACCTGAAAAGATTTTTTTTGATAAGCAAATAGAAAGTATGTCATCTTAAACTAAAAGATGAAATACAGAAATGGTTTAAAACATTCAATCTAGTCTTAAATGGTGCTCTAAAAAATGTCTTACCACAATGTATACAAAACAAACCTTTAGTGGTTATGATCTTCTAGGTAGAAAATCATAAAATCCTATATCCTATTTCAGATTCACAATTGTCATCACAAAAAGTTTAGTGACATAAAATCAGAATTTAAAATGTTTAGTTAAGATGAAAACAGAGGCAGATCAAATACAGATTTTATTTCACAAGACAACTCCATGCTGTCCACCTCCAGCACACAACAGCCGACTTCAGTACATACCTCTCCTGCTTGTCTTGCTAGGGTCACTGCATAATCCATGCATTCCTGCCAAGGATCAGCCATCTTCTGAGCAGAGTTAACACAAGTCAGGACAAAGCAGCCAGAAATCCCTAAGTCTTAATTACAGAACCGTTAGTTCGCAAAAACATCTCAGTTAGCAAAATACTTTCATTTTGGATTTGCCCTCTTCCAGATCTCAGAGTTCAATATTCTTCAAGATTCACTCAAGGTCCATTAAAAAATATTCTTTACCTCAATCACTTCCATCGTAGAAACATTTACATAACAAAAAATATTTTTCCCAAAGTACCCAAAACATCACACTTAAACAAAAGACAAAAAACAACTAGGGGCACCTGGGTGGCTCAGTCAGCTGAGTGTTCTGGCTCTTGATTTCAGCTCAGGTCTTGGTCCTAGGGTCATGGGATTGAGCCCTGTGTCCGGCTCTGCACTTAGTGTGGAGACTGTTTAAGATTCTCATATTCTCTCTCTCTCTCACCCCTCACCCCCTTCTCGAGCTCTAAAAATAAAGCTTAAAAAATAAATTAAAAAATAACACTGGGGGATGGAGAAAAGCATGTAAGTATTTTTTAAATTTTTTTATAGTTTATTTTTGAGACAGAGATAAACAGAGTATGAGTGGGGGAGGGGCAGAGAGAGAGAGGAAGACACAGAACCTGAAACAGGCTCCAGGCTCCGAGCTCCCAGAGGCTGATGTGGGGCTCAAACCCAAGAACTGGGAGATCATGACCTGAGCTGAAGTCATACGCTTAACCAAACAGCCACCCAGGCGCCCCAGAAGCACGTAAGTATTTTAGAAGATAGGTGCATGCTTGAATGGAGAATAAACTGAAAAAGAACATTGGGAATACTGAAATTAAAGAAGCTCTGAAAGGAAGGCACAGAAGGTACATGTATTAATGAACATCAGGTAATTTGGTGTTTTACGTGAGTTTTTTTTTAATGAGGTTGTAAAGATGAAGAACTTAAAGCTCAGAGATGATAATTTGTCCAAGGTTATATGGGCAGATGATACAGTCAGAAGTTGAACTCAGTACTGATTTTAAAGTCCTCTGATCTTTCTATTACATGTGAGGAAAAGAAAATTCTAGGACTAAAATAAATATTAAAGTAAGAAATTTCCCAGAAAAAGACAACATACTTTTGTCTTCTAACTGTCCAGCTTTCCACTGGCTCCTGAAAAGAACACCGAAATAACTCACCACTGGCTTGACCATACTCTGAAATTGGTACCTAGGACAGTGAAGCTTTTCAAAGGGTCAGACTCAGAAAAATGTGGATTCATTTATAAAGCAACCCTAATTTTGTCACCTTTATAACTGAGAATAACGGACACAGAGTTTTACCTTAAAGACTACTCGGAATTCCCTACCTTGGTGCTCACAGTGTAGGAAAGAGAAGAGAGTAGGGAAGGGCAAAGGACAGATACAGTCAGCGGTTTCTGCTTGTAGTTCCTTTTTCTTCCTGATGTAACAACTTTTTTTTTTTTTAATACAAAAGGGAAGTCACTTTGAGTCATAAAAGTAACTGCTTAGAGTGTCTCAAGAATTGCTTCTGAACTTTTTTTTTTTTCCATTCTTACTCCTATTCTTGTCTTCCAGGATTAATAGATCTAGATGTTCTCACAATGCATCTGCTTTCTTGGCAGAAACTGCTCAAGCCACTCTTATCTCCACCTTCTAACGTCATGGATAGATCTCCCACCAATCCTACAATGTCCAATTCAAAAGCTACCCTTCCTTCTAGGGATTCTCTATCCAGAATTCATTATTTAATCATTAGATAGCCACTTGCTGAATACTTATTATATGCCGTTATCACTGTGAGGGAAAACAGGCCCAGTTCATACTTACTCACTGGTGGGGAGAGAGATCTATATTTTTAAGTCCATTTATTTAAATAGAGAGACAGAGAGAGAGAGAGAGAGAGAGAGAGAGAGAGCATGAGCAGGGGAGAGGCAAAGAGAGAAGGAGAGAGAATCCCAGGCAGGCATTGCACGGTCAGTGCAGAACCCAATGTGAGGCTCAACCCCACGAACCAGGCGGTCATGACCTAAATGAAAACCAAGAGTTGGACACTTAACCAAATAAGCCACCCAGATGCCCCTAGGTATTATTAAAAATAAAACAAAAAAAGAAAACAAAAAGAAATCATGGACTACATGCAAAATCACAAATGTAATAAATGCTAAGTAAGAGAAGTGCAATGAGAAGCATGTAACAGGAAAGCTTTAACCCGGCCTTAGGTATCAGATAAGGTTGCCCTGATGACATGATTAAATCAAGATCTGAAGACAAACAGGCATTAACTACCTGGACCAGACTACGGGATGTAAATGAAGAGTAACTAAAAGGCTTAAGTGTGACAGCTCAAAGTTCAAAGAAAGGGGGGAGAAACGAGACTGGGGCTCATCCCAATCAGGGCCTTAGAGATAATTTGATTTGAGAGCTGTAAAGAATCATTTCACCATGACTACTGAAGATAATAGGTTGGAGGGTGGAGGGAAGAGTGGAGAGTGGCTGCTGGGTAGACTGGAGATTTTAGAACGCAGTAGTCCAGAGAAGCCTGGATGGTTGGTTTGAATGGGGGGGGGGGGGCGTATATAGAGAAGCTGAGATAATCAAAAGATATTTGCTGTGAGAAGTTGGGGGCATTTAGCAAAAATTTGGATATGGGGTATGAAGAAGAAGAAGAGTTCAATGATGCTAGGATTTTCCACTTGAGCAACTGAATGGATGAAAGTGACATCTACTGAAACAGAGAATAACAGAAAAGAGTCAATTTGGGAATTTGGGTAGGAGGTGGGGAGATCAAAAGTTTAATTAGTGGAGTAGGAGAAGCCTTTGTGAAACCAAAAGGAGAGATCAATCAGGCAGCTGAACAGTATGGATCCTGAACTCACAGAAGAGGTGTGGCCTGCAGACATACTCTAGAAGTCACCCGGGCAGGCAACGACTGAGTCCTGAAGCTCAGCGGCATTCCTAAGGAAGGAACATGCAGGGAGAAGCTGGAACGAGACCTTAGCTTGGAAGAGCCCATAAAACTTGGTGCATCACACTTTGGGCACTAGGAATATCTTCCATACGTTTTGATTATTTATGTAAGTGCCTCAGGTTACCAACTACTTTGAGCAGATTTCTCGGCCGAAGAGAACGTATTTTATTCACCTTCATTTTCCTAAAGACAAATACCTGAAGCATTTTTAACTGTTTCCGCCCTGATCACAGCAACCTGTCTGTCACCAGTTCTCGGCAGCACGACTGCTTCACAGGTGATCACGGGGTTACACTGGGACTACATGACCCTGGGTCTCTGAGCTGCCTTGGAATCAGTAAAATTTAAGAGAGGAAATTATTCTACATAAGCTGCCACCAAGGTGCGGAGAAAGCCCGCGGGTGAGGTCGCTACGTACTGTGGGGTCTGTCCCTCAGCGGCGGGGGTTAAGGACAACACCGCAAGGATACAGCGGCCCCAGCTGCGGCCTCTGTCCCCGGGCACCAACCCCAGCACTACTGACCGCGCCCACTCGCTCCCGCCGGCGGAGCGCGGCCCCGCGGCCCCAGGCCCACAGCGCCGGCGGAGACCGCCTCAGAGCCGGTATGGGGTAGCAGGAACGCAGCACTTACCTTAAGTTGGAGGTCAGACTCGCCAGGCTACAGGCAGGATCCGTGCCCGGGTTCTTCCTGTGAGTGAAAAATGTTCCGGACAGGAAGTCCCACCCCCGAGGCCCCGCCCACGGAGGCGTGACTCCATCAGGGATAGGTCCGCCCTGAGCGCGCCGTTTGAGGCTCTAGCTCTGACTGCGGGATCCAGAAACTGCTTTGGGCATTGGAGATTTGTCCTTTTAATTTTCGGTTCTAACTTCCTTTATGCGGCCTGCACTTTCTCCAGAAAAACTTTAGAAATTAGGTTTTGGGTTCTTTGTTATCAGTTATCTTAAGATATTCTTGCTAACTGCATGGCAACTAGTGTTGATTTGTAACCAAATGAAAATTTCCAGGCATCTGCAGAAAATGTCACGAGTCCTCTTTAAACCTCCTTTAAATGAACATGGCCCCATTAATGGGCAAAGCTGCTAAAATCAATGTAAGCAACGTTAAGTCAGAAGATCACATCTTCTTTCTTATTCAAATAAAAACACTTCAGGCTACCTACCTCAAAAGAGCAGGAAGTCCAGTCTTTTTCTAGGGGCCTCTCCATCCATGAGGGAAGTTCTAATTATGCTAGACCTCAAAAGAGAAAAGAGGGGAGATCCAATGCCCTCGATACTTTCCCAGACACCTTACCATAGAAGGAGGAGGGTTGGGGAAGAATGGCCTTTGCCAAGCCACAAGGTGCTAAGGTTACCTATCTGCAAGAGCAATAGTGCCCAATTACCCTATATATGAATAAAGAGGGACAGACATGGTGTTTCCTTTCCCAGCAATCTTGGGTGTCCTGTAAATAACTCTACTTAAATCTTTGGAGCAGACTACTTTTTTTTTTTTTTTTTTTAATTTTTTATGTTTTATTTCTGAGAGAGAGAGAGAGAGAGAGAGACAGCATGAACAGGGGAGGGTCATAGAGAAAGGGAGATACAGAATCTGAAATAGGCTCCAGGCTCTAAGCTAGCTGTCAGCACAGAGCCTGACACGGGGCTCGAACCCATGAACCATGAGATCATGACCTGAGCCGAAGTCGGACGCTTAACCGACTGAGCCACCCAGGTGCCCCTGGAGCAGACTTCTTCTAAATGGCAACTCCTTTTACTAGAGGGGGAAAAAAATCAGATTCCAGATACCAAGACTTTACTGGTTAATTGTTTAGTGGACTTTGATTTTAAAATGATAAAGATTTATATACACAATGTGCAGGTCCTCAGGGATGAAGCCTCTAGGTATCTAACAAAATTTCATGTTTTGACAAAACAGGTTGGAATTGCAGACAGAAGTTTTATTCTTGGAACAATGTATCATAGAATCACCCCCTCCAGAGGGTTGGAAAGCAACTTTATAAAAAAGTGTCTTACCCCTTTACCTCTGGATCTTTCTGTCTAACCAATCAAGGCTATATAAAATGCTGTGATTCCAAGCAATCAGACAGGATGCTTTATGCCCCTCATTTTTTGAAAAAGGATAACTTTAATAACTTCATCCCCATCCCTATTAGATAAATTTTACCATGTAAAAACAGGTCTTCCAAGATACAGCTGTAAGAGAAATATATTCCAAATTCCATTCATGCACATTCAGCTTTTAAGATTAAAGATCATTCAAGTATGTATAGAGTAACAATAGAGTTTACTATGTGTTAGCATTGTTCTGAGGATCTTACTAATATTAACTCATTTAACCTTCACATCATTATCCCCACTTTCCACATGAATTTAGGCCTAGAGAGATTAAGTAACTTGACCAAGGTCACCCAGATGGTGACAGAGCTAGAACTGTAGACCCACATATCATCTTGTTCCACAGTAGAAGATCTTGACCTTTATAGATATTGCTGATTAACTAATTCAATGTTTAATGAGAACTCTATTCAAGGCATTTAAGTAAAACACTGTAGGGAATTCAAAGAACAGCATTTGGTCCCTGCTCTCAAGTAGCTCTTATTTTTGTTGTTGCCTTAATTAGAAAAGGCAGCAGCTATGAGTAGTTAATTCCCATCAACCTGAACCTTCTTCACATCACCCCATCCCTTTGCCTATGATGTTAGGTCCTAGAGTTTCATGCCAGAACCACAGACTTAAGGAATTGAGCAAGATGTTAAACCTCATTTGAGTATGTTCATTTTATAGATTTGAAAAATGAAATGCAGAAAGATGTCTTATTTGAGGTAACAAAGTTAATGATAAAGTGTAACTAGAAAGACAATTTCTTATCTCCTAATCAGTAAAGTATGTTCATGAAAATGTATGTAAGTTAAATTTATATAAGCTTAATTATGAATTCCTAAGCAGAGATTTCTGTTCAAAGCAGTAGTAAAATATTCCATGTTAGCAATTATTTTATAAAGTGAATAAAAACCATCTATCATCATGCCACACCAGGTCTTTTATAAATCTTGGTATTCATATACTGGGTTTGGTCAAATGAGGAAAACTTTGGTTGTCATATTAGCTGCCAAACTAAACAAAAACTCCCTAATAATATGGGTAAGACAGTGAATATCATGGAGGAAAATGTTCAGAGTTTTAGGCTCCAAAGTTATCAGATTAACATTTCAAACCAACAGCTATTTCAGGGTCAAAAGCTTCAACTATGATAAAATAGCTAACACTGAACATGTACCGTGTGCCGGTACTATTCTAAGTATGATCTCATTTAATTCTGTGAAATTGCACAAAATTTCTGAACGTGAGAGACTCCATTTGGAAGCTCCATTTTCCTTTTTAACTAGTAAATTCTTGAACTGGGGCCAAAGTGGCAAATGTTTTATAAGTAGCTGCTAAACAGAACTGGCATTAGGACCATAAAACCGTTGGTTTGAACTTTATGAAGACAGAATAGTTGACTAAAACATACTAAGATTAGTTTCATTTGATAGCACCAATAATAAAAGTAATCAAACGCAGCTCAACTGGTTAGCACCAATTGACAGGTGTGTTTTTTCCTATCAAAATCATGTAATCAACCCAATTCTTTCTCAGAATAAACTTTTGCTTTGCCCACATAAGTGGAACACTTTTCTGCTTACTAACAGAATCTGTGTTCTCTGAATTTCAATTGTGAGATCCAAATAAAAAGCCTTTATATTTTGTTCAGTTTTGCCTCCTTTTTGGAGTTGACAATTTGCACAAAATTTGACAGAATTCACATTATCCTCTCCAATTTTCAGGTGAGGAAACTGGACTATAGGAAGATTAATTTGCCTGCTACAGGGCTAGGAAATGGGAGAAGCAGGTTAGAGAAGTATTTCTCATTATTATTATTACGCCCACCCTATCATTGGAGAGGAGTACAAACAACTAGATACTAGAAATTACCACTGATAATTCAGAAGTGTTATAAAACAAACACACTATTTGTTTGGGGCCTACTCTGTACTTCAGCCTTTTATCTGAATAAGCACACAGGAGATGAGGAAGACATGGGGAGAATCAAACTGAATATTGCTTGCACTATCATGTTTATATGTTTCATTCTCATGTTCAAGGATTTATAACAGAATGTGACAAAAACACGAAAACTGTAAAACAAGGCAAGTTGGCTAAATATGAAACACAAACAATTGTGAGGAAAATTTCACTTACAGGTTGCTAAGTGTGATTAGCAAAAGCTTCATGGCAAGAGTGATGTCGGAGCCAGGTCAGCAGCATAGTCAAAATTGAGATCAAGTAGAGGTGGGCCTCCTTGTAGGTTGCAGGAATAACATGAACAGAGGCATATTCATGAGATACCAAGTCATCCAGTTTGAATGGAGCACGGCTGTGTGTAAGAAGCAAGAGGAGATAAAACTGGAAAGGGAGAATGAAGTCAGGGAGTATAATAAACACCTCACTAAGGAATATAAACTTTATTCAAAAGACAAAAAAGCTGGTCACAGGGAAGGTACATAATCAAAGTTAGATTTTAAGATTGATCTGATAGTGATTGGAAAATGGACAGAAGGGCCAAAAGCCAGTTGAGTTTTAGGTAAGCAACAACATAGGGCAGAACAAAAGTGATATTACTGGGAATAAAGAGGAGATTGATGAAAAGATATTACAGGAAACCTTCTGTAGAAAATAATTTGACTAAAAAGGAAAGAATGAAGGAAAAAAGGAGAAAAGGAAGAGATGACCCTGTGTTTCAGGGTAAATGGTAATGCCTTGAGTGGGAGATGTGCAACACAAGTACAGTTCCAAGTGCAGAGATGCTACATTTAAGATGTATTGATTCTGATCAATCAGACCCAGATAGGAATTTACATATTCATTCACAGTGTCAGCATTTACTGCCTGCCTATTATATTGAGATCCCTTCCATAAACTTGGAATATATCACAATCACTACAGAAGGAATATTCTTATTGCTCTTCCCTGTCTAAGAGACCATTATAAAGTGTCCTATTCAAATCCAACTCTAAATCATTTCCAAACCAACGGGTTTTAAAAATGGGCACCTTCCTCTGAATTTCTGTGCATTTAATGGTCTGTAGTCAACTGAAAATAGGCATCATTTTTTGATATTCTTTCAATCTCCCACAGTACCTCATTCAGAGTGAAAATTCACTAATGCTTTGTTAGGCCAGGGGACTTCTTTTTCCTTTTATCTTCAATGATAAGGATACATCTTTTCTTAGCCTTGTAAAGCAGAAGGATCAGTAACATTCCTATAAAAGGAGCCACAGAAGGTAAGTCTGCCTTGGACTGTGAAGAAGAATTGAATAATTATTAGCAAAGGCTAATAAACTAGTATCCCACTTTCAATAGCGACAACTTTACAAACAAGAAGAGGCAACACAAAATTTTAGCAAAGTTGTACTCAAACAACAAACCCAAAGTAGGAACTAAGACACCCAATGAAAGCTCCTCTAGATTATTTTTAGAAACATTCTGAAAGTTAAATAAATCCCTACAAACATTAAATGAAGACTCAAGTCTAATGATTCTCTCCAGGAAGTTTGCTTTTTCAGGTAGGCTACACTTGATGACTATTCCAACTGATGTTAGAATGATGAAAAGGAGTATGGATATAATTTTAGAAACAGCAATATGAAATGTACCTGATGTAACCTTAACAGCCTACTGCATACATAAGAACTAGCAAGTATCATTATCAGGGCCAATGATGTTGAAGTTATCAAAATGGCCAAAATGAGATCTTCTTCTAGAAGCAGAACAGAGAAACAGACCCCACACTCCTCTTGGGCATGTGTAGGTCACTACAAACCCAAAAGCCTATGTTGTGTCTCTTAGAATACCAAAGTCTGTGTTCAAAGAAATCCACAAAATGGCCTAAGAAAAAAATTGTGAAACTGCCCCAATTTGCCAAGAATTACTGGCAAAGGAGTCTTCCATACAGTCTGAAACATCTGCAATTCAATACCGCAAGCAAGTGCACATTGGTAGAATAAGCACTAGGGTATGTCAATCAATATGCATGGATGCCTTGAAGACCATCTTCACTTTGTTTAGGCACTTTGACTTTAACATTAATTCTTGAGGGAGTCTTTCTTGCCTACCTTCAGAATCCCATAGTTGTATGGTCAAATTTGCATCTCCATCTTCACCTGTTCTAAGGTTTCTGATAATAGGTGTCTCAGTCACCACTTACAGCAGTTTATCATCTAACTGTAACAAGAGACAGCTGGAGTTTGGCCACTTAGCTCTTTAACTTGATCTCTGATGACCATTTCTTCAGTCTTTATTCAGAACACTGAGAAATGACCTCCTTGCTTCTCCCAGAGTCACAAACCACAAAAGCAGGATGAAGACAGGGTAATAACAAGCTTGCTAATCAATTTGAAAGTTTAAATAAATCACATATGCAGCAAAACCATTAAAAAAGAAAAAGCTACAGAACATTCTTTTCAAGTGATAGTCCTTAGATAACAATTGTTTTTGCTGGATCAAAGTCCAGTAGGAGCATGGCTATCAAGCTTTTCAAAATACAAAGGTATGTAGTGAGGGGCACCTGGGTGGCTCAGTCGGTTAGGCTTCCAACTTCAGCTCAGATCATGATCTCATGATTTGTGGGTTTGAGCCCCGCGCTGGGCTCTGTGCTGACAGCTCAAAGCCTGGAGCCTGCTTCAGATTCTGTGTCTCCCCTCTCTCTCTCTGCTCCTCCCGGGCTTGTGCTCTCTCAAAAATGAGTATTTAAAAAAAAATTTTTTTTAAAACAAAGGTTCCTAGTGAGTAACACAACTTGTTTAATCTGTAGTTATGAAAATGTAAAAGCCACAGCTTTAACAGGTTGGAATTATCACAGCCCAAACCTACTCTTTCTTCTAGACTTCCTCAAATGAAAGCCCTAAAAAGAAAGCTTGAGACAGCCGATTTCAGATTATGTTTAGAAATGAGAAGCTAAAGAGACTTTCTCTCTTCCCCACAATCTTGTTCTCTTTAGGAGACTACTCAGGCTGGAACCCCTGGTCCCTACAGTCAGAGCATGCTGGTACCGGTGTCCCTTCCAGACCAGTCTGCTCCGCTACCTGGGACCTGACCTAACTTAATCACCAGCAGGACTACTGACCCAAGTCCCTCCATGCTGCTCGGTCTCTTCTCTAATCATGGACGGGACCTCTTCTTCATTCTCCCTGGGTGTAACTCAAACTCTGCCAGCCTTACTTCCCCTCTTCTCACTACTAATTGCTATTCTTCCTGGTATATTTATCTTTAGTTCAATTCATGAGGCAGGTGTTGATCACCTACTATGTAGAAGTAATTACAACAGATGCTAAGGTATTTAGTTCGTATTAAAACTTTATGGTATTGGGAATGTATTTAAGAATTAGTTCTACTTCTGCTCTTGTAGTTTCTAATAAAAGAGCCACTGGAACATAGCTATATTTACTGTCTACTTACTCGTTTGGCACCTGCTACACAGCTTGGATTATACTTATAAGAATGTATATATCTCACCATTATATTCACCATGGCAATTACAATCAAATTCTTATGTTTAGTAGGCACTCAAATAACTACATTAACAAACAAGTGTATGAGTAGCTGACAGAAGTCAAAGGTTAGCTCCATTCCTTGCATGAAAGTAATAAGAGAGGAAATGAATATTCTGAGCTTTAATTGTACCTAAAGCCATTATGTGTGTCCCTGACAATTAGAAAAAGGGACAAAGCCTTCCCCAACAAGGGACAAAAACAAGCAGAAATCATTTCTTTTCCTTCCATATAGTACTTTGTTGAGTACTGATGGAACATATCAGTCGGACACATTCATTTTAATATGTTGGTAAAATACAGTTATTTTTGGCATGTATTTTGCATGTCTATAAAGACACTGTAATGAAGTTGTGCTACCTCATCCTTCCTCATTTGTAATACATTTACACAAATAAAAATGGTGAATCGTACTGGAAGAGGATCTTTATCAGAGAGATATGCCCCAAAGCAGTTAGGGGACACCAAGAAAACCTTTTCTCTTCCTAAGCCTGAGATTCCTCATCCAAAAACTTGGAGACCATCTCATTCACTCTATGTTTCTATGATTCATGTACATACACTAATTTATAAATGCTGACATACAGTTAAGGCTATACTTCCTGGCCTCATGATGCTAGGCTTAGCCATGTTACATGCATCTTCGAAAAGCCAGCTCCTTCTTCCTCCACCATAAAAGCAGCAATGTCTAAAACAGAGTCACTTCTTCAGCTTAGATCCTGGAGTAACGATCATATGCAGCAGAGTCACAGCCCATCAACAGCTGACATTAAAAATAAGTGAAATACACCTCTTTTTGCTATTATTAACCATAATCTAATAAAAGCTAGTTAAATACAAAGATTTGCTAACAAATGAATGTCAGTTCATAGTTTAAAACACAAAAATTCAAATTCAATTTAGCAGAAAATTGATAATAGAAAGGACATAATAGAAATTAAAATGCAACATTTAAAAATAAATCTGTGTAGTATGTGTAGTAAAAGAAATGGACTTAACACAGAATTTTCCTCATCATTTCTGTCTTGAATCCCTTACATGACTATTCCAAGTAAGAGTCAACATTTTTTAAAAACTGTTCTTCGTCATTAAGATATTCCAAGATAATATTTCCACCATTATACAAAGGGCAATCCTCCTTAGTAATCCAGGTTTCCAAGGTATGATCCAAGGGTAAGGCTTCTCCTGAAGTAATGTGACATAACCTTAATTTCTGTTGAGGGAAAGAAATCATACTATAATAAACATGCTGGTATAGAGTATCCTAATTAGGAAAAGAGTTATTATAACCAGTTGTTACCTTTGCTGTTAATTTGTTATTGTCATTTTTAAGATTTGTTAAAAAAGCTGCAAAGTCGATGACTTTTCCAATGCTCCATCGGTGGCAAAAGAACATTGGTTTGCTCTTCTCTTTGCTCCCTTTAGGTAAGAAAACCTGAAAGTAAACTCTTTCTTTCTGTAAAAATAAAAAGTTAAAATATAGATCATATATATGAAACAGCCATCTGCTTTTGTCTCATGTCCTCTCTTCCTGACTTCTCCTGGTTAGAGGACTACCCTCTAATGATGCAACTTTTATAGCGGGGCTACCAATCATAGTATTCAGAATCTACCTAAAAGCATGGGCGTAGGACTGAAGACCCTACTTAGCTAGGGTGGTCTGTGCAAAGATAAGCATGTAATGTAGAAAAGGCCAAAGTCTAAGTCTTCTCCTGAGATATTTTATGTTTGAAAGCTAGGAGGAGGGAGGAACAAATTTTTTTTTTTTTTTTTTTTTTAAGTCTTATTGGATTAAACTGAAGTTACCTATGGCTCTTCCCCCCAAACCCCTCAGTTATTCCTAAACTTACGTGGAAAAGTTTTCTCAAATGGGAAAGAAGGACTCCAACACAGAGAGGAAAGTCAAGGAAACAGATGGACTCATTCAAGAGGGTATGAGTCCTGGAATCCAGTCATCCCTTGAGATCAGATCAATGCATCACTCCCCATTATAGGATAAAAAATGTTCTCATTAGCTAGTTATCAAATTTCTGTCCCCTGCAATCGAAAGTTTCCTGATACATAATAACATTTCACCTGAAAAACCCTACTACATCTTTAGATGCAGCAGGGTTCTTGAGAACAAAGGTCCAAACAATAAAATAAGCCAAGTACCTTATCAACACAACAGAATGATTCAAAGTTTTGAAGATGGTTCCTCTAGTATTTTATGCTCTATATTCTTCCTTACTTTTTTTTTTTTTTTTGCTAAGTTAACAAATGTAGGAGGAAAATTAAAGAGGAGCAAAGGTCTTTGGCCTCTAATCTTCCCTGATTCCTAAAAATTGCTTTAAAAAAGTGCTGCTTTATAGACCAATTCCTGCTACAATAAATATTTTGCTATAACTAGTATATCTCTAAATTCTAGTATATCTCTAAATTATAGTAATAATAATCACAATTATTTTAAGAAATAAAAGATTCAACACGATTTGCATCTAAACACAAAGGAATTTAGATTTGTTGAAAATCAGTGGAATGTGTCATAACAGATAACAACTATTTAAAGAAAAACAAATCACCAGAAATTCAAGCCTTGGGCCAACTCTATAACTTAATAGTCCCTGCTCCAAAACAAGGTAACAAGACCATAAATACAAAAGGAAAACATGTAAAATCTATAGCCTCAATGAAAGAAAGAAAGAAAGGCCAAGGGGGTGGGCAGGCTGGCAGGCAGGCACAAGCAAAATATGCTGGAGGATCAAAAATGAAACAAATGCAAACAAGTGATAGGCAGGCTGAGCCACAGACTTTCAAGGCTCCAGAAGAGAAAGGAGTGCCAAGAGTTCAGCTTGTGGGTTAATGGGAAACAACGGTGCTACATGGAGATGAAGTACCTGGCCCGGGCTCACTGCTTAGAAGCAGAGACTAGTGTGGGACTTGTGCTCCAGGAAAGAAAGTTGAAGAAGGTTCTGCGGAATGCTGACTTAGGCTACTGCTTATAAAATGTAATATTTAGGGAGGCAGAGAAGCACAGATAGAACGTCTTGACAGTGAACAAAGCCAACATCTTCCAAGTCAGTAAATGGATACACAACAATCTCAAAGTTTCTGAAGGTCAAAAGCCCAAACTGCCAATCTCAAACTTGGAATGGAAGTCCCGAAAAAGGCCAGTCGAAGAAAATACAAAATTGCTAGACAGGGAGAGGTGCCTGACAACAGTGAGATACAGTAAGAACCTCCTACTCAATATGAACATGCAGAATCTATAAATGGAAATTCAAAGTTACTTTACTATGGGCAGATGAACTAATTGAACTCAAGGAGACATTATAAAAAGTTATTTTTTTTATTTTTAAAGTTTATTTATTTGGCTGGGGGGATATGGGCAAAGGGGGGAGGGGAGGGGTGGGGAGAGAAAATTCCAAACAGGATCCATGCAATTAGCACAGAGCCCAATGTGGGGCTTGATCTCACGACTGTGAGATCAGGACTTGAGCCAAAATCAAAAGTTGGGTGCTTAACCAACAGCCATCCAGGCACCCCTAAAAGTTATTTTTAAATTATGAAATATCCTTAAAATGAACAAGAAGGTATAAAACAAAAATGAAACAAGACAAGCTACAAAGATCCAATGAGAAATATAAAAATGTTAATATACAGTTTCTGAAATAAACTCAAACAGGAGAAATTTCGATAATCTTCAATAAAAAGGCTTAATTGATTTGAAGATGGATTTGAGGAAATCCCCTAGAATGCAGCACAAATAGACATAAAGATAGAAATTATACATCCCAAAAATAGGTCTAACAAGATTTCAGAAGGAAGCAATATTCAGAGAAAATGACTATAATTTTCCCAAAGTTAAGAAATAGTGAAATTAAAAATGTACCTACAGGGCCAAGCTGGGTAATTAAATTAAATCCAAATGTAGAAACATTGCACTGAAGCTGGAAAATATCAAACTCTTAAAAGCTACTAGAAGACTGATTACCCATAAAGCAACAAGATTGACAGATGTTTCCCCAACAATAGGTAACAGAGGACAATGAAGAGAATATTAAGAGAGTTGAGAGAGTCTAATGGATCATCCAGCTCAAGTGAGGACAAAATAAGGGCACTTTCAGACAAAAAAAAAGCCTCAAAGAGTTCACCAATGAAGACTCTTAATGAATGAACAGTTATTAGTAATTTAGCCAAAATACAAGTGAGTCCTAAGGAAAGAGAAATTCAAAAAACATATGCTGGCAAATTTAAATAGCTATAGTACTGACTTAAAAATAATCATGTGTGAACAAAGATGATGGGATGGGACCTTCAACTTGAGAAAGCAGGTCAAATTCCTGTCTCATTCAAGAGGATACAATACCAAGTAACTTTAGATTCTGAGAGACAAATTGGTATTTAATTATATACGTTAAAAAACTCAAACTGTTAGCACGTGTCTATTATCATATTATAAAGCATTACAATGGAGAGTCTAGATAATATAGTACAAAAAAATGAATAGGCTAGTATAATTAAAAAATAATTAAAGCTACCCTTATTTGTTAATGGGGTGTGATTGTTTACCTGGAAATTGAAGGCAAAGAAAAGCATTTGCTTATGTGACTGAACATCTTTTTTCTCTATATTAGAAGTACCTACGTAGAGCAGTTGGAGGAAATATTCTGTTCACAACAAAACAAAACCCATGAGATAATCAGGGATGAAAATAAGGAGTAAGACTTAAATGAAAAACATAAAATGTTACAGAAGACACTAAAACACGATTTAAATAAATGAAAAGACAAAAGGTTCTTAGATAGGAAAACAATGTTCTATAGGACAAACCCAAAGTGAATCCCTCAGGAATGGTCCTCAGTCAGGACTTGCTGATAGTCAGAATTTGCTGGGAGATTGAATTTTATTCTCTCTAACTTCACAGAAATCACTAAATAATGTACTGAGGGTTTTCATCAGTTACTTATACCTAGTGAGCAGGGAGAGGTCAGAATCTCCATTATCAAGAGGAAGATAGTAAGGGGGTATAAAATCCTCCTAAGAATAGCAAAGGGGGTTTCTCATAAATGGCAAAATCTTTACCTCCTGTTGGCACTATTATTCACAGATTACATCCTTGTGGGAAACTGGGGGGCATGAAAAGCCACATTTCTAAGACCATACTGTGTTCTCTTGCTATTAATAATGATTTCTCTCAGTTTCTCCATTTCTCCTTTAAAGAGCCTATAATCTTTAACGTTACTTGCTGGAGTCTATCACTTAAAACCTTGTCCCATTAGGATAATGATACAAATCCTAGGAGTTTTGGTTTTTTGTAAGTATAATTGATACACAACTTTATATTAGTTTTGGTGTACAGCAGTGATTTAGCAAGTTTATACGTTATGCTATGCTCACAAATATAGCTACACCATCTGTCCTCACACAATGCTATTACAATGTCATTGACTATACTCCTAATACTATGTCTTTTATTCCCATGACTTCTTCATTCCGTAACAGAAAGCTTATGTCTCCCACTCCCTTTCACTCAGTTTGCCAATCCCCCCAACCCAGAAAGTTTTAATTTAAATAGAATAAACATGAATATGAAAACTGCTAAGAAAAAAATATAGGTGACCTTACATTATCATATGTGAGAACATTCTATAGAGCTATTGCCTCAATTTGCTATTTACCTAGGAGTTAAAAAAAAAAAAAAAAAGTGGAACAGAATAGGAAATCCAAAAACAGATCCAGTGAAAATAAATCTTAAACTTCTCATGAACTGGAATACCAAATACCACCTTCAACAGAAAAAATGATTTAATAATTGGTGATGGCAAAACTAGCTAAAAAACTGGAAGAAAGTAAGATTGGGTCCTTAGCTCATATTATACGTTAAAAACAAATTCCAGGGGCGCCTGGGTGGCTTAGTCGGTTAAGCGTCCGACTTTCGCTTAGGTCATGATCTCGCGGTTCATGGGTTCGGGCCCCGCCCCGCGTCGGGCTCCGGGCTCTGTGCTGACTGCCAGCTCGGAGCCTGGAGCCTGTTTCAGTCTGTGACTCCCTCTCTCTCTGACCCTCCCCTGCTCACGCTGTCTCTCTCTCTCCCCTAGAAATAAATAAAACATTAAAAAAAAGAAAAACAAATTCCAGAGGGATTAAAAACAAATCCAAAATGCCAAAAAATAAAAATCCTAAAGGAAACCAAAGTGGGGGGTGGGGGGTGGGGAGAAGGAGGGGGAGGCAGACCTCAGAAAAAATTAAAACACATGTCAACAAGATACCTAAGTAAAAATCAATATATTTGATACATTTTGAAAAAAATTTTCAAAATAGATTGATTATAGATAAAAGAATATCTATTATATTCCAAAGTGTTTCCATACTAAGTTGACCAAACAGAATTAAAAGCCAGGAGTGTGAGTTAAAGGACAACCAAAAGAAAAGTGATCAAAGGATATGCACGGGTGATTCAAAGAGCAACTACAC